TGAGCCTGCGCGTCCGGAGCCTGTGCTCCGCAACGGGAGAGGCCACAACAGTGACAGGCCCGCGTACCGCAAAAAAAAAAGAAAAAAAGAAAAGTTGCCTATAACCTGAAATATACAGGATAGCCTATTCTCAAGACACTGACCTTGAAGAATCCATTCATAAAGAGATAAAAGGTTGCCAAAGAGAGAATAACATTTGTCTTGGAGGTTTACAGGAACATTGTGACCTCACCTACGTGGACAGCTGCAAGAACAAAGGATTTGTACACCAATAAGTGTGCAACAACTAACTACGACCCTCCCTCGCCTTGCCTTTAAAAGGGATTTGCTGAAACCCTTTAAGGAGTTTGGAGTTTTTGAGCATGCCGCACCTGTCCCTTTGCATGGCCCTGCGATATAACCTTCTCTGCTCCAAACTCCAACATCTCGGTTTGTTTGGCCTCACTGTGTGAACTTGCATTAGGTAACAGTGTGTCATTGTTAAGGACACGACCTGTGCCTGGGGCGCTGGGTCATCTAGGTATTGGGAAAGCTCTCATTCAATCCTATTCTCACATGCTTGCAGGAGCCCTGGGGATTCCTGCCAGTTCCACCCACCTCTCATTCCCAAATTTGTCTTCTTGAACTGTCTTGGGGCCAAGGCAGCACAGTCAACAAAAGCGACTCAATTTGCCATTTCTGAAGGTGCTTCTACCCTAATTCTTGAGTCCCTACTATGAGTAATGATACAGTTCACAGAGTTCCACCTCTTCTTTTTTCCTTCCACTGCCCAGAGCTAACCACAGACTTGTTTCTTTTTATACTTTATGTGTATGTGAAATAAAATTCACACTTTATGGCGTGACAAGAAAAATTTATTTATTTATTTATTATTTTAAAAAATTTTTTGGCCATGCTGCGCGGCCTGTGGGACTTTAGTTCCCCAACAAGGGATCAAATCTGGGCCCTCGGCAGTGAGAGTGCCGAGTCCTAACCACAGGACTGCCAGGGAATTCCCAGGAAAATTTAAACATATAAAAATGTTCTCTGCCCTGGGGCCTCCCTTCTCTCCACACTGTGCATTGTGTATCTGCATTAGGCATTGGCCAAACCTGCCCCATCAGCAGAAATACCTGCTCAACCAAAAAGAGCAACATTCTCTGAGCATCAACAACTCCTAGATCTTCCATTTCTTTCTTAGATCAACTAATTTTTCATTGACATGTACTTAGTCTTCTATTTCTTTATAAGTCAGTTTAGATTATATCCGCCTCCCTCCCTAGACTAAAATGATGAGATCAATGTTCTTCTATTACCTTTTACCTTCTTTTCCCATTTCTCTCCCAATTTTTTTCCTTTTATAATTTTTTTTAAAATTGAAGTCTAGTTGATTTACAATGTTGTGTTAGTTTCTGCTGTACGGCAAAGTGATTCAGTTATACATTATTTTTTATATTCTTTTCCATTATGGTTTTATCACAGGATATTGAATATATTTCCCTGAGTTATACAGTAGGATCTTATAGTTTATCCATCCTATATATAATAGTTTGCGTCTGCTAACCCCAACCTCCCACTCCATCCCTCCCCCTTGGCAACCACAAGCCTGTTCTCTGTGAGTCTGCTCCTGTTTCGTAGGTAGGTTCATTTGTGTCAAATTTTAGGTTCCACATATAAGTGATATCATATGGTATTTGTCTTTCTGACTTACTTCACTTAGTATGATAATCTCTAGGTCCATCCATGTTGCTGCAAATGGCACTATTTTTTTTAAGGGCTGAGTAGTATTCAGTTTTATATTTTCTATAGTCATTGTTTTTAGCACTTACATTAGGCTCTGTAAATAAATTCCCATAATCTACTAAAGGCTTATATCTGTGGTTAAAGGGATTCGTTGCTTACTCTCAGTTCTTTTGCCATTGCTTATGTTTGTCTCTTACAGATACAATTCATGTTTTAGTAATTTCTTCAAGAAGTTCATGCAGGGGCTTCCCTGGTGGCGCAGTGGTTGAGAGTCCGCCTGCCGATGCAGGGGACACGGGTTCG